CTGGTGCTATTTTTGACATTTGACCTTTCACTCGATTTTTGTTCGAATGTCACTCCAGCGAGCCTTTCAGAAAGGTCGCTCGACCCTCGCTCAAGCGAAAGTCGTGTATAAGACGCGATTGCAGCCTCACTTTTCCTTTGTTTTTCGAATTTTTCTCTCAAATTTCAATATCCCATTGTCAAATCTTTGCATAAACATCCTTTTAGTAGCTTGGGGATCTTGTTTGGACCTCCCTAACATCAATTTCGTCATCCAATTCATCAATTTCACAGGTAATTAATCAAAACCTAGTTTTGGCTAGTTTGGGGATTTCTTGATTTTCTTGGTTATTTGCAATAATTGGACATTACATTCACATGTTTTGAGTTTGTTAATAATTTGAGATTGTGTGTGCATCAATATGCTTCAACTTTTACATGTTTTTGATGATTTTGGTCATTGCTTGAGAGTACTTCATTGCACTGGCTATATTTGGCTTACTTTGGTCGATTTTGATGGAATTTGGGATAGGATTAGTTGATGGTTAACTTGTTTATGCATGAGGAATCATGGGTTGGCCATGGGTGTGTTGGATTGTGCTTGGAAAAGTCATGATTTTACATTGCACTCAATGTGTTTGATGAAATGTTTCTTTGATTTGTTTGTGTATTTTCTGGCATCACTTTGCACACACGAGCCATATTCCATACTATGAACATCTCTATGCACTCACATATCGTTTTGGAGTCCATTTGGCTTAAGTTTTGACTTAGTGACATGACACTGCAGCCACCGCACCTTCGTCCTGCAGTCATTGCACCTCCGTCCTGCAGCCACTGCACTATGTTCATGCACTCCATACTTTAACATGTTTGCATCATTTTGCATGCTTTGTGGCCTTTTTGCATTGCTTTGAGTGCTTGATACATACTTACATCGTTTTGTGAGCATTGTCGCATTCTAACATCGTTTTACGTGTTTGCTTCCCTGTTATATCATTTCACGCATTTTCATGCATTTGACTGTGCGACTGCTCGTATGGTCTACATTTTCTTTCATAGTATCTTTTGACATGTTTGTTTTGCAACCATGTTCCAGATGCCACCGAAGAGAGCCGAACCACCGCTTAGCAGCCCAGTGGATCTACTTCGTATAGTAGGACGAAGTTCATTTCCTTTACTGCCCATGAGGTTTTTACTTCTCAGTTTTTACATCGCCCTGTCCTCGTAGAGCGTGAGGTTATCTTAGCTGATCTACCTCCCGATATTGCTGCCATTTTTGTCTCTCGAGGTTGGAATTCTTTATTGACTGGGTTGGGTCCCCCTCCTAGTCTTTCAGTTCAAAAGCTCTTCGCGAACATCCACGAGGTTTACGAAACTTCTTTCCGAGTCTATCTTAGAGGTACTACTCTTAGGCTCTCTCCTGATGTCTTGGCTGGGTCTCTTTATATTCCTCGGGTTCTTCACCAGATTTTTCCCTATCTTTCGGCTAAAACCAACCCTTCTGACTCATTAGTTTAATCTACTCTTTTTGATACCCTACTGGCAGGGGGTTTGACTGCGGTTCATACTGGATCGCTTCCAACTGAGCATCAGGTTTTGTTGAGTATTGTGTGAATGAACTTGTGGCCGGTTGCACACACTTCTTCTTTACCTTTTGATAGGGCTAGATTTCTTTATGCCCTGATTCATGGTGACTCGATTGACCTTCCGACCTTATTGTACCAGCATATTCTTTGCACTTTCCGAGTCCCTGATCGTAGGATAGGTCTTCCTTATGCTTGTCTTATTCATAGATTAGTCATTGCCCTTGAGGTCCTTCTTGTCGGATGGGACAACTGATTGGTCTTGTTACTGTTTCACAGAGTCGATCTCATGCTTCGTCCTCTTCTACTCCTGTTGAGCCTACTGATCTAGTAGTGCCATCAGATCCCATCGATG